AGCTCAAAGTGCCAACCCAAGAGCTCACAACACTCAACCAGAGAGTCCAGCACCCAAAACTCCAACAAAACAGACACCAACCCAGAAACAAAGCCTTCCACACACTCCCAAAGGTATCCCTCACTCACACAAGGTGTTTAAGAGAAGATTAAGTGGAACAAATGACCTCTAGGCTCGCACCAAGAAGAAGAGAAGGCAACGAAACAGTGTGAGAGTGCTGGTCAGCCTCCCATCCATATAGAGCAACAAAAGAATTCCTAGGGTTTTGTGCAAAAGTTATATTTATAGTCGGTTTAAACTTAATTGCACCGTATTAGCGCTAATTGCTACGCTTAGCAATTTAATCCCACACTTTGAAATCTGAACCTACTTATTTTTACAAGATTTATCATATTTTTATTTTATTTTTCGCAGCACCTTTCTGATACGCGTTTTTCATAGCCTGGTTCTGGCACCAATTCTCATTATTTTGACTTGAAACTCGTTTCACAAGTCTTATATATTATTCTAGTAATATTCTCACACTTATTATAATTTTTCGGGATACTTCATTGGTACACATTTATACCTAGCATAACCGGTATCTGCACTTTTCGTCAGAAAAGCGACTTTCAACTTTAATAAACACTTACCATAATTATTTAAGCCTCATAATAATTATTAGGGTCAATTATGAAATTATTTCCTAATTTCTCATAATTAATTAATTAACTTCCTTAATTAACGGTGCGGGTTCTTACAGTTGTGGTGGTGATGGTGGCTGTAAGAACCTGCACCGTTAATTTAGGAAATTAATTAATTATGTGATTAATGAGATAATTCCATAATATTGACCCTAATAATTATGAGAAGGCTTAAATAATATTGGTAAGTGATTAAGAATGTTGAAAGTCGCTTTTCTGACGAAAAGTGCAGATACTGATTCTGCCTCACAGTATAAATGCGTATCGATGAAGTATCCTGGAAAATTATAATAATTATGAGAATATTCCTAGAATAATATATAGGACTAGCCTAACAAGTTTCAAGTCAAAATAATGAGAATTGGTGCCAGAACTGATACTGGCTAAGTAAAAGTGCGTACCGAAAAAGTGCTGCGAAAAATAAAATAAAAATATGAAAAATCTTAGAAAAATGAGTAGGTTCAGAATCTAAAGTTTGGAATTAAAATGTTAAGCGTAGCTATTAGTGCTAATACAGTGTGTTAACACTTAAACCAGCTATATATACTCATTTTGGCCCAAAACCCTAGGCCATAATCAGTTTATACGTGACCCTTGGTGGCTGACCAGCTCCCTACACTGTTCCATTGTCTTCCTCCCTTCATTTGGTGAGCCAAGTGGTCAATCTCTTCCTAATCTCCTCTTTGAATCACCATAGATGTTGTGAACAAGTCTTGCGAGGTTGAGAGGCACCATTTTCTGAGTGTTCAACCACTGCTTGTGGGAGTTTGTGAGCTGAGTTCCTTGGCTTGGTTGTTGAAGTCATTTTCTTGATGGTTGGTACTCCAAGAAGCAATCTTTGTGAAGAAAGGACCTTGCTTGCTTGGCATTTTCGTGTCTTTGTGGAGTCTGAGCCATGTGGCTGTTGAGAGAGCTCCAAGAGCACCTCCTTGTTATGTTTTAAGCTTGGGTAAGCTTCACCAACCTTGATCATGAGTTTCCTTTGTTAAAAATGAAGCTTTGATGCATGTAATAAGTCAAAGTTTATAACTTAAGGTTGGGTAAGGTTAAACACACCTAGAAATGCATGCTTTAGCTTCTGTAATCGTTAAAAGAGCAACCTTTGCGAAGGATATCTCGTGAAGTGCAGAACTGCATTCTGTCGTGAAATATCCGGATATGGGGTCTGTAGATATTCGTATATGGATATCCGGATATGGATATCCAGATATGGCCCCGACATATATTCGGATATTCTGGGAATTTCGAGACAGTAGCTGTACTGTTCATACAGAATGATATTTTTGGTTTGTGAACCCATGATTAGTTAATGTGGACTCTGTAATAATTAACCTAAGTTAGAATCTAAGTAATTAAAGGCTTATGGCTTTGTGAGAAGCCTAAAGACACGAAACGTAAAGGAAAGGCGTTGTCTTTATATCATATGCTTGTAGAGTATGAATATTGATATGATTATTTGTCCAAATAGATTGTGATTGTGCTGTGTGTGGACTTTGAGCTGGTGTGGACCTTGGATTGGATTGATTGCTTAGAGGTAAGCATTCGTTTCCTCGGTTTAGCCACTGTTGGTTCCACCATACCCCATGGAAGGATAATTTATATGCATGATGTGTTTTCACGTATTGATTTATTGAAATGCTTTTGAGCTGTTAAGTGCAAATGCCTTATGATATGTATGTGATGTTTCGCCTAGACGGAATGATGATCCTGTGGGCAGGTACGGTATGGGCGTGTACTATTGCGGGTTGTAGACGTACGTACATCCTGCATTTCTCTGGCCAGTAGAATAGTTAACTCGCATGACATGATTATATGTTGCATGCACTGATTTGGAAATTATATTGTCAGACTGCTTTTAGAACTTATATTGCACATGTAAGTGAGCTTGGGGTGGAGAAATCCTTGAGGACCCATTTCCTTACTGATATTTCTGTTTAGTTATCTCACCCCACGTTTGGGGCGCTTATTTCAGGTTCAGGTAACCTGGGGGTTGAGACCTCTAGCGGCAGGAGGCCAAAGCTTAGTTGATTTTTATGCTTGCTGATTATGTTGATGTCCCTGTTTAGTGATTATGCCTTATCCATTACCTTGTTGTTTGTATTGAGACTTGATGAGTATGTTGTTTATTTGGTGAGCATGGGAATTGTCCATGCCACATTGATTGACTATGTCTTATTTCAGATTCGAGTTGTATTAATGTATCAGGATTATGTTCGGACTACGTGTTGTAAATCTGTGACTTAGATACTCACTTATTTATATTGAGGTATTTCAGTTAGCTGTCTATTTGCAATTACATACAGGCAGTATTTTGTAAAAGGATTTTAATAATCAACTTGGGTAATGATAATGACGTCATAATTGAAAAGAAAAAGTTATTTCGCATTTTAAATTAAGCATGGCTTAATACGATGACATGTTAACAAACCGGGTATACACGGGGTGTTACAGTGGCATGGTGAAGGTAGTGGTAGTGGTGGTGGTGATGGCATGGTGGTGGTGGTGACGGCATGGTGGTGGTGGTGACGGTGGTGGCTGTGACAGCAGTGATAGTAATGGTGGCATAGTGGTGGTGGCGACGGTGGTGGTGGTGGTGGCAATGGTGGTGGTGATGGTAGTGACGACATTGGATGCGACATTGATGGTGGTGGTTGGTGGCGGCGGCGGTGAAGGCATGGTGGTGGTGGTGGTGACAGCAGTGGCTATGGCGATGGTAGTGGTGGTCGGTGACGGTGTTGGCGATGGTAGTGGTGGCATCGTGGTGATGGTAGTGGTGGCGATGGCAGCAGTGGCTGCAATGGTGGTGGTGGTGGTTGGTTATGATAGTGGTGGCAGTGGTGGTGGTGGTGGTGACAGAGGCATGGTGGTAGAGATGGATGGAGGTGATGGCATTATGGTGGTGGTGGTGACGACGACATTGGTGGTACGATGATGGCGGCGACGATGGTGGTGATGGTCATGTCGGGATGATGTTGGCGGTGGTGATGATAGTAGAGGTGGAGAGTGATTGAGAAATACAAGTGTTTCTCATTTTGTGCCCGAAAATGAAAAAGCAGAAATTTTTTTTGTTCTTTTTTCTGTTCCTCAGCACAAAAATTAAACCGGTTTATTTCGGGAACAAAAAAATAAATCGATTTTACCAAACGAGTTTTCTATCAATTTCTACTCTCGGGAAGAGAAATTAAAAAAAAAAATGATTTCGAGAAGATTGTCATGCACACCCTAAAAGGACGTGACTCAGACTTACCTCAAAATAAGGTATATAAAAAAAAGGGTTTTGTTTATCTCATTTTACATGAGATAAACAATTTTCCTACACACACAAAAAGAGGTTGTGTCCCACATTTTTTTCTCTCTTCTCTTACATGTGGGTCCCACTTTTATTTTTATTTCTACAACATGAGATAATTTTTTTCCTACAACATAAGAAAAATATATTCCATAAAAAAAATAGAGTATCCCAATCTGCATTGCATACACGAACCTACATACTTGACACATTTATCAGCTATACTAGAATATTTGGGCATGTTTGAAATTTCTTTTAAAAAATAATTTTTTTAATTTTCAGAAAAAAAAAATTTATTTGATAAAGTCTGTTTTGTAAAAAAAAAAAAAATTGTAACTATTTTTCTTATTTATAGAATCAAATTTAAAAAATATATATGAATTGTTTTTATTTTATGTTTTGACTTTTAACTTTCAAATAAATAAAAATAAATAAAAAACACCTATTTTATGAGAGGCAGATTACATTTACATCTTTTTTATTTATAACTCTTACTGTACTCTCCGTTGAGGTTGTAAAAGTTATAAAACAAAAAATTAGGAAAAATATACTCTTATGTTGTAGGAGAGTATTTTTTTCTCCTACACATACATTGATTTTCGTATTTTCTTTTTCTTTTTCTATAAGTGGGTGGGTCCCATACAAGATTATCTCTATAACATAAGAGAATTTATAAACGTAACATTCTGATTTTATTAACTATTATAAAAAAACAATTTTAAGAAAGAAAAAAATCAAAGCAGAATAAAACATACCCTTTATCTTCTGATTGGACCAAGTACAACCTACTATCTCTAGGCTCATTACTGTGTTAGCATTAACTTAATGAGCCGTTGCTGGAAAATTGCAAATACTGACTTCTTCTACCACCACAAAGGTCTCCGTGCGTTTAAATTTTGGCTAACTAGGTTTATGCTTGATGACTCTGTATACTTTATTTTCGGAAGGAACACCGGTTATTCTGATTTCAGATCGTAGCAATAGCAAAATGGTATTTTTAACTTGTCCATATTTTTTAGCTTTCAACAAAATAAATTCCAGAAAAGTTTTCTTAACAATTAGTCTGTCATGCATTTAGCACAACATAAACTTCCAAAATACAATCATCCATTAGCATTCAACGAACCCCCATGAATGATGCCACAAGACACCAAAGATTCAGAATTGCTACTACCTAAAGGTTATTTTCTTTCTTTTTTTACCAGATGGTGTACAAAGTAAACAATATCCAACCTACAAGAAGAACAATAAAAAAAATAAAAAAAGAATACTTCAGTAGGTTGGGTCTTGACAGAAAAATTGGTTTAGCATAAGAATGGCTATCATCTTGCAATTGACGATCTAATGGATCCTGCATTAGGAAAGAGTAAAATGAATTAGTAACATCATAATAGGGATAAAAGTCAAAAAAGAAAATAAATAATATACATTGACTACTGGATAAAGATGAAAAAAAGTATTCATTAAGAGTTTCACAAAAATCACAACATAATTTCAATGAATAACTTGCATCCAAGGGATTCATCATTATCATTAATATAAGTCTGACACCATATACACTTGAGGCCCTTCTTGATAAGAGGTTTTGCAAAAAGCTCACTAGGAGCATATGTTAGCACTTTTATTCAACTATGTAGTGTCCAAACAGGCCAAATTAAAAATAGCCAGGTCCTTCCTCAACCCATGCATGATATGGGAAACAAGCTAAACAAGAAAGTTCATGAGCTACTTTGTTCCAATTTTTATTAAATATTCAAATTGAGAAAAGTCCCAGTGAAGAGAACCTGCAAAAGTTTAGATTGGCGAGAAAAAATGCAAAGAAAGCAGTGCGAGAAGCTAGAGGCAAGGTTTTCGACGAGTTGTATAAAAATCTTGGGAGCAAGGATGGTGAAAGAGGTATTTATAAACTTGCAAAGATAAGGGATAAGAAAAGTAAAGACCTCACCCAAGTTAGATGGATCAAGGATGAAAATCAAAAACTTCTGGTGAGAGATGAAGATGTAAATGAAAGATGGTTGAAATACTTCAACAAGCTGTTTAATGGGGATGGAGATACAAGCGAGGTGGACTTAGAGGACGCGTACGATGATATGAATAGAAGATTTGTACGCAGAATTAATACACATGAAGTTAAGGAGGCTTTAAAGAGGATGAAGACTAATAAAGCCTTGGGGCCTGATGGTGTCCCTATTGAAGTGTGGAGAGGCCTGGGGGATGTGGCAATAAAATGGTTAACCAATCTTTTTAATAAGATTCTCCAGACGAATAAGATGCCTGATGCATGGAGGAAAAGTATGATTGTGCCTATCTACAAAAACAAGGGAGATATACAGAATTGTTCAAACTATAGAGGCATTAAGCTAATGAGCCATACTATGAAGTTGTGGGAGAGGGTTATTGAACATCGCTTGAGGAGAGATACCAAGGTTTCTGTAAATCAATTTGGATTTATGCCAGGAAGATGTACCATGGAAGCCATTTTCTTGATGCGACAACTAATGGAAAGATACCGAGAAAAGAAGAAGGACTTGCATATGGTGTTCATAGACCTTGAGAAAGCATACGATAGGTTTCCAAGGAAAGTTTTATGGTGGGTCCTGGAGAAGAAAAAGGTTCCATTAAAGTATGTAAAGGCAATCATGGATATGTATGATGGGGCTACTACATGTGTAAAAGCTTGTAACGGATCATCAAGTTATTTTCCTATCACGGTAGGTGTACACCAAGGGTCGGCTCTAAGTCCTTACCTCTTTGCTTTAGTTATGGATGAACTAACAAAAGATATTCAAGAGGAAGTGCCATGGTGTATGCTTTTTGCAGACGATATTGTGCTTATTGATGAGAGCAAGGAGAGTGTTAATAGAAAACTTGAATTGTGGAGAAGCACATTGGAATCCAGAGGATTCACATTAAGTCGAAGCAAGACTGAGTATCTGAAGTGTGAGTTTTCTCTGGTACGAGATGAGGACCAAGAGCCTGTGCATCTAAATGGTCAAGAGGTACCCAAAAAAGATGCTTTTAAATACTTGGGCTCCATTTTACAAAACGGTGGAGAGATTGATGAGGATGTAAATCACAGAATCAGAGCAGGGTGGATGAAATGGCGCAATGCATCTGCATTTTTGTGTGACCGCAAAATCCCCCTGAAGTTAAAAGAAAAATTCTATAAAACGACAGTAAGACCGGCAATGCTATATGGTGCGGAATGCTGGCCAGCACATAGGCAACATGAGCATAAGATGGGAGTAGCAGAGATGAGGATGTTAAGGTGGATGTGTGGTTACACAAGGATGGATAAGATAAGAAATGAAGATATTCGACGAAAGGTCGGAGTAGTACCGGTAGCCGAGAAGATGAGAGAACATAGATTGAGGTGGTTTGGGCACGTGATGAGAAGACCCATGGATGCTCCTGTAAGAACAGAAGTTTGTTACCAAGAGCTAAACACACAAAGAGGCAGAGGTAGGCCGAAGCTTACTTGGGGGAAGGTAGTAAAACAAGATTTAATGGAGTGGGATATAGATTGGCGGACAGTATGTCTTAGAACGGAATGGAGAAAAGCTATAAGTATGGTGGAGGGTTAGACCCGCTGTTATTCCTATGTTTCAGATGGTCCCTTTTTAGTCCTTTTCCCCTTCATTTCCCCCACTTCTTCTTGTCCCTTTCTTTTGTACTTTTATTTATTTATATATACATATATTTTTATTTTATTTTATTTTATTTTATTTTATCTTATTTTATTCTTTTATTCTATTTGTTTATTTTTATTTATTTATTTATTGCTTTTTTTACTTTTTTTCAACCGTTTTGTATCTTTCATGTGGGTTCATCTACCACCGACCCCAATTAATTTGGGATAAAGGTGTTGTTGATGTTGATTCAAATTGAGAAAACATCAACAACTTATAACCTAAAATTTTTAGCTTTTCTACACCCACTTACTTTTCCATGCGTGCACATAAAAATGCTTATACAAGCAGACATAAAGGTAGCCACACACACAGACATAGGACAAGCTCACATGGTAGGCAGGGGCACATATAATACACAAGCCAAATTCATAGTAAATGTACGCAGAGAGCACTGAGAGCAGTGACAGACATACTTCTTTACAGATAGTTGGCCACGTTACTAACTAATGAGTGTTGCAATCACACTAAGCTGAACATAAATATCAACTGTTCATCTTGGTCCAAAGCTCAAATTTATTCTCCACATCTAAATCCTCACTTTTGCTCAGCCAGGTCAATGTTTGTAAAGGTCAATGTTCCAAAACTCTTACAAAAAAGGAAATAGAGAAAAACCAACTCATGTGATGGAATCAATACTATTTTTATCACATATCCAGTGTTACTCCAATAAATTGCCTGTAATCAAAGTGTCATCAATACTTTCTAATATCAAACTCAATTTTATGATGCCTAGATACATTATTAATCCACACTCATGATAAACAGAGATAAAGAAATGACAGCTACCAAAATATAAGCTCACCATTTCTATCCCACAAAATAAATAATTACTTTTGCATAGTAAGCAAATTCGAAAGTAATTAAGATTTATGAAAGAGAACGCCAGTGTGACTCTGATCACTTCAGCAAAAGCATGGGATTGTGGGTTTGTGACAGGCACAGATTGAATATAGAACATGGCAAGAAGGAGGAATCCAACAAGCAAAACATGAACATGACCATGAGTCCTCAATTGTTAATTGAGCCTCATTCAATGCTTGGCCAGCTTGGCATTAGGCCAAATCAGCTACACAATCAAATAACCTTTCATGCAGAGCAAATGCTATGTGCAAACTCAAGAAAGCCAACAAGTTAACTCACGATTTCTACAACAAAACAAGCAAATTAAGTATAAAACTTTCACTTCAGTATGACCAGAGTCTTTTCAACTATCAATCAAGCAAAAGGATGAGTAGGTTATGTAGTGTAAAGCATAATGTTATGACAATCAATGATTGCCTTCAATTAAACGATTTCAACTTCCAAATTATCTTTTTGTAATAATTCATTGAATTTACAAACTATTGTTATGATTTCTTATTATATGACACCATCAATTGGGTATAGATGTGCTGAACAAAGAATAGCTTCCATCAAATAGAATCACAGACCAACTCAGAAATGCATGCAGTATATTTCAGAGCTATCAGGGTGACTGAAACTTGAAGTACACAATCCAAAACGGATATTAAACCAATGTAGGGAAAGTCACGGTGTATGAATTGACATAATCCAAAAAAAGGTAAAGGGTCATATTTTTATGTCCAGAGTGAAACAAAGTTATGCAGATTACATATAAATGGAAGATTTAACTTACTATTTGATCGCTTCATATTCCTGCAGAATTTACTGCCACATCTGCACCGGAACAGCTGGACAGGATGATCATGGTCATCAAAGTTGATGCCATAATCCTGCAGAAATACTATGCATATAAGCTTTTCTGGAGAAAATATCAATTCCTACATTAATTAAGCAATTCAAATTTCAAAGTGAAACTGCACACAAATGAGAAGCTATGAAGATGCTTAGTAATCACTAATCAGTATAACCATAAAAAATGGTCTGCCAGGTGCCAACTAACCAGTGTACGTAGCATTTTCAATTTAGTAGCCAGCAACAAAAATTTTTTTATCCCCATGATGATTTACTCAAATTATCTTAAACCTTGTTTCCTACTAATTTATGCCCTACTTGAGAATAAAGAGCAATTCATATGCACCAGAAAAAAAAAAAAAAAAAAAAAAAGACTGAAACAATGAATGCAATATAGGAGCATTCACCAAACAACATATTACATAACCAAAGCCACGCACCCAAGTGAGCTCTTCCTGTGCTTCTATTTTTCTGGCTGTGAAGAAGGCAAACTGCACATTTGAATACATCAAAAACATCAGCAAGCAATTGGTGCTACAGAGTCTGTCTTGCCAACAAAGGTAATTAAAAACTGCAAATGGAATTTCATGGAATTGCTAACGTCTCACATGATAGTAGTGATGAGATGGACCCTCAATTTCAACTGGGATCTCAATCAAGTTTGCATCCAAACATCTGCCAAAACAAAATCAAATTATTGAAAATCTTCCAATTTACAATTTCTAAATAATGAGTACAATGTCTGCCGGGCCACTCTTTCAAAGAAGTTTATAGTTAACAGTAACACAATCATACCATCAACAGTATGCTGATGGAAAGAACCTTGGTTTGCTCAAATGCAGTCATTAATTTCTTAATCTGAACACAACTAAATCGAACCACTTCCATCCTAATTCTGCTTTATCCTATATATTAAGTACTTTTATCTGCATAATTAAATAATACAAAAATTACATTTTCCTTTTCTCTTACGATAATTACAAGCTCATGTGTTAAAAATTAAAAACTAAGGAGGCGTTTGGTAGAGGAGAATTTTTTTTTTATCCGGGAATCTCAATTTTCAGAAATATGATGAAAACATTCAGTTTATGATAATATCCGAAAATTAAAAATTTAGAAAAATTCAGTTTCCCGAAAATCCTACAAAATACCTTGTACCAACCGCTCCCCTAAGTGAAAACAGTCTACACTAGAATAGTGAGCTTCAACCACATTCCAGCATAAAATAATTTATCTTGTCTATATAAATAGGTATCAAAATTAAAGACAAATCAGTTGTAAAATTATTCCCTAGAATGATTTTTTTCCCTTCACGTAGCTTGTTTAAGTTGAAGCATTTTTTGCCTGATATTTTGTCTTCTAGTTTCAAATCAGGCATGTGTTTATACTACGAAGCATCAAATTTCAAATCAGGCATTATTTTGTCTTCTTCAATCTTCTGTTCTTCCCAGTATCTCAAAACGTACACAAGCATAGTATGTGAATGACAAAACAGTTGTAAAAAATTGCAGTGATAAACCCTATTTATATTGAACAAATAACAAGGTTTGCTCAAACAGCAGCTAAGTTAAAGCTATAGGATAAGTTTTGCTGTCAAGATTGTCAATGAGCAAACCACTTGCTTACCCAATACTTAAACCTTAGGGAGCCAGTGAAAAAACCCCTAGCATGCAAACCGTTACAAGTTACCATCTAAAAAATTTGAGTTGCACCTTGTTCAATTTTGATATTTGACCCAATAGTCACTTGTTTGAGTTGAGACAATTCATAAAGGTGATGATTTAAGCTGGGAAAACCCATTGCTCGGTACTTGGATCATTTATCAATAAGAATGATGAATGCCTTGACCTCAATAGGGCTAAATTGCTAAGAAAATCATTAATACAAGCTAAAATATTTATCTTAAACACATTAATAGAAACAATACAAGATAATATCTACAGCTAAACTTCTATAAATAATCATAAAACACTCCTGCTGAAACTTCGGAAATTTTAATACCTGTGATTAATAAACCTAGCAGCATTTCCATACGATGCTGCATATAAGCAAAGAGCTTCTTTATCCTTCAGAACTTCTGAATCCCAATTTGCATCTAATATAATTGGGTACCTATATTTCCCATTTTCGGGATATTTCAAATTCCTCTCATGCAACTCTTTCACAGTTAAAATTTCTCCAACAAACTCACATACAAATGCACCTTTCGGTATGTCCTCTAAGGTACGAAGACCCCACCCTTTTCCGTCTGAAGTTAAAAACACCTGAGTAGCAGATAATTATCAGAGAAAACATATCTAGACAAAGTTTGGCCAAGGAAAATCCATTTAAAAAAGTAAATAAAGTATTAGTGTCACCTCATTGACCTCAACATCGAAAAAAATGTATTATTTACTAGTGGTAAAGATTACTTAAACAACCACCTGCAAGTTGCAAGTTATTCCACGCTGGACAACCCGATTGCCACAAAGTTTCCCACAGCCACATTTGCTCCAGCACTCTTTAATAAACTTCCTTTTTAAGTGTCCTTTACATGGTTCCAGACAATCAGTATTCTTTGCTCTTTCCAGCGGGCAGTATTTGCAACAGAAATAATTTTGAGGGTTGCGGCTGATGGCAATACACTCTTCCAAGAACTCTTCTTTTAGTAGGCCTTGCGCAGTGTAAGCAAATTCACCCCCAGTTTTATTTGCACAAGAACATGGTTTAGATGATAGGACACAATTGCCCATACAAGTTGAACAACAATCCTCATTCCCAATGCGAGATAGAGAAATATTAACATAAGCATCTTCAAAAACAAGGTTTCGTGGTATGTAGTGAAAGGATGGTAGGGAATCATTAGTGATATTATTAACCCATGAAATTTTCACTCTTTCTTCTCCCTTTGTTAGATCATTAACGTCACAAATAGTCATTATATCCTTAGTTGTAACATGATGCTTTGGGTATGAATTTGGAGATATCGGATCTTCGCGCTCCTTCCCACCATCACTTTCTATGAAATCATTCATTCCATCCTTCATGGAAACTAGTACAGCATCATCCAGACCACTCCGACAGGGTAGAGAAATGGGAACTTCAGGTGCAACCAAAGAAGAAGTCTTAACATTGATTGATCCATTTGAAATGCAAGAGGGCATAACGGAATCTTTCTTTCCTCTGACAATCAAACTACTATTTGCCTCAGATTCCTTGGACACGTCAACAGTTAGTGTTTTATTTACAGGTCCTTCCTGCGAGTCATTATTTGAATCAGTTCTGAATTCCAACATGCAGTCACACACATCTCTCAACAATTTCAGGACAGAAAAATTAGTGCCAGTGATTTTATATGATTGCAGAAAATTTATCCTCCATCATTTTTAGAAACTGATTGCAACTAGGCAAATGAAAATCTGATCCCCATCAGAGAAATTTTTACCTCTCCCATAGATGACGAGGCTATCTCTACATTAGAAGTTGCTTCTTCATTTGAGAAAGGAAGAATATCTTCACCTCCAATTTCTTCATCTCTGCATTGTGATGCTACAGTGTCATGGCAGTCTTGCTTTCCAGCTGCACCATTCTTCATTGAAGAATCTCTTCCACTTGATAGTTCTTTTGAGGGAAAATAATCAGAAATGAAACTAATTAAACAATCATCAATACAAAGTTGAATGCGGGTTGGCAACACAATAACTAAAAGAAAAGAAAAATGGAATCATTAATAGAAACAAAAAAAAAACAACAACAACTCCACATTAAAACCTGACATGCAAGAGTAGGGGTGGTGTAGAAATCCCTATATGCAGCCTTATCCAAGCATTTTTGCAAAGAGGCTGAATCTTGGATTCGAACCTATAACCTTTTGGTCATGAAGGAGTGGCTTTACCACTGTTCCAAGCTCGTTCTCATGAAAATGGAAAAATTCTAACTAAAAGAAAATAAAATGGCACAAAAGTAGCATTTCTTTGGTGCAAAACTGATATATAAGTCCATTTATGATGCCAAGAACCAGGGGTTCCTTCCACACATACAAGCAAGAGCAAAGATAGATCATCTTATGACAGGCATCTTTTGACAGATTTCTGGAAACGTAGAAGTCATACAGTATGCAAGTAGAGACTTGCAATTGCATATACCAACGGAAGCACATCAGTGAACCCCATTGAAATGCTGGCATTCGAAGGGAAAAATATTACTCAGGTTCAATTCAACTAAAATTATTTCACAGCTGAACCAAAACTTGCACATCAACTTCTATTCTTCTTTTGAGGTATGTTGGCATCAAAGTTTTATCCTGTATTTTCCTAAGAAAATTTTCCCATCTACTCTGCAGAAACTACCGACAAAATACAGTAATAATTATTAAATTCAACAAAAGTTGTCCATGAAGTAAGAATTGTAGAAAATCAGAATTCAAACATGTTTCCGTTTTTATTTCCTATTAATTAGGATTGATTATGATTGATTATGATTGATTGTGATTGATTAGAATTGATTGTGATTAGGATTGATTAGTCATCGCTTGGTCATCGCTTAGTCATTCTTAGCGATTCTTTCTTGTATAAATACTCACTCATGTAAATTATTCAATATCAATATACAAAAACTTCTTTTCAATATGGTATCAAGAGCGGGTTCGTTCCTACCCTAATTCAAATCTGAAATAACCATCCAAACACTTCCATCACCGTCAAACACCTCCTAAACACCTCCTTGAATCTGTCCAACACAGAAACTTAGTCTACTGACCTCCGATCAAGAAAGTGAGGTGACCATTCGACTCAGAAGGATCCGACGAGTCGACCGCCGCTGGACCCATCGCCGTCAACCGCCGCACGCGCCGCCACGCGACGTCACACGCGCGGCCAGTCTCCGGCGCGTGAGCTCCACGCGCCGCCTTCCCAACGTCTTTTTCCGCCGCGACTTGCACAGACCTTCTCGCCGGCTTCTCCCCTTCCTGTTCCAGAGGTCAGATCAAAAATTTACAAAACTTGATTTTTCATCAACGGTCAACCCTTCTCTTTCTATTCATGGCTTCCTCAAAACACTCTTCCGCCTCCTCATCTGCCCCAAATTCTCAGTCCTCTGGAGACAACTTAGGTTTGCAGATCACCAATCACCGGTTGAACGGTAAGAATTTTCTGCAGTGGTTTCAATCAGTTAAGTTGGTCATCCGGGCAAAGGGTAAGATGGGCTATCTTGAGGGAAGAATTAAGAAACCTACTGAGAATTCTCCTGATTATGACGATTAGGAGATTAATAATTCCTTGGTCATGGCTTGGCTGACTAATTCCATGGAACCACAGATTGGCCAAACCTATCTGTTCTTTGATACTGCCAAGGAAATTTGGGATGCTGTTCAACAGAATTACTCCGATCTGGAGAATACCTCCCAAGTTTTTGAACTGAGAAATAAGTTGACTGTTACTGAATATTTTACTGCACTAACGAATTTATGGCAGGAATTGGATCTTTATTATGCATCTGATCTTAAGGGATTGGAAGCTAATACCCAATTTAAAAAACACTTGGAGAAGGAAAGACTGTATGATTTCCTTGCCGGACTCAACCGAGATCTTGATGAGGTTCGTGGTCGAATATTGGGGCAGCGACCGTTACCTTCACTTGCTAACGCCTTTGCTGAAGTCGTCGAGAAGCCAGTAGACGGAGAGTTATGCTGGGAGAAAAGGAGTCGCTTGATAAGCCAAATGATATGTCTGCATTAGCTGCCAACCGTACCATTGACCGTTCCTCCGGAGAATCAAAACGGGATGGTCGTCCATGGTGCACCCACTGCAATAAAATTGGTCATACCCGTGAGAAATGTTGGGAAATCCACGGGAAACTTGCAAATTGGAAGCCCAAAGGACAAAATAAAGGTCGTGCATATCAGGTCTCTACTGATGACAAGGTTGATGAGCCTCATGCATCCTCTGACTCTGATGGTGTCTTTCTTAGCAAGACTCAGTTTGAACAACTTCAGAGACTTTTGACTCAACCTCCTAAGGCCACTAGTCATGTGGTCCAGCAAGGTACAGCTTTCCATGTTGATAGTCAAAATCATTGGATCCTTGATACTGGAGCCTCTGATCATATGACAGGTAATCTTGGCTTGTTTTGTTCATACACTCCATATTCTGAACCTTCTCGGGTCAAGATCGCCGATGGCAGTTTTTCCCAGATTGCGGGACACGGAACCATTAAACTTTCTGAGCTGATTACTTTGACATCAGTTCTTTATGTTCCTTCTCTGACTTGTAATCTCATTTCCATTAGCAAGCTCACCTCTGAGTAGCATTGCTTTGCTAAATTCTTTCCACATGGTTGTGTTTTTCAGGAACAGGACTCGGAGAGGATGATTGGCAGTGCTAGAGAGGATGGTGGACTTTACTACTTTGAGGAGGATGTGACTCATGAAGCTGTTTTCGTAGAAAAAAACTCTATGTTTCCTTTTGATTCATGTAATGACGTTATGCTGTGGCATCGTAGGCTAGGCCATCCAAATTTTATTTATCTTCAGAAGTTGTTGCCAAACTTATTTATTAATAAAAGTCCAAGTTTGTTTTCTTGTGATATTTGTCAACTTGCCAAGCATACTCGTGCTCATTATCCTTCTAAAGTTCACCATGACTCTTCCCCATTTTCCTTAATTCATAGTGACATATGGGGTCCAGCCCGTGTTAAAAATATTTCAGGTACTCGATGGTTCATTACCTTCATTGATGACCATTCTCGAGTCTGTTGGGTGTATCTTCTAAAGGAAAAGTCTGATGCTGCATCCGTGTTTAAAAAATTTCATGCCATGGTTCAAACCCAATTCCAAGTTGCTATACAAATTCTTCGTACAGATAATGGCAAAGAGTATTTTAACTCTATTCTTGGAGAATATCTTTCCCAACATGGCATCCTTCACCAAAGCTCGTGTCCTGACACACCCCAACAAAACGGAGTTGCGGAAAGAAAAAACCGACATCTCCTTGAAGTTGCTCGGGCTCTTATGTTTACCACGAGTGTTCCTAAATATCTTTGGGGAGAGGCAGTTCTCACTGCCTCGTATCTGATAAATCGAATGCCATCTCGCATTCTGAAATTTCAGTCTCCTCTTTCTAGTCCTGTTCGTATCTTCCCTTCCTTCCGAGGTGTCTCCTCCTTACCTCTCAAGTTATTTGGTTGCGTTGTATTTGTCCATATTCCCTCCCATCAACGGTCTAAGCTTGATCCTAAGTCTCTTCAGTGTGTCTTTATTGGTTATTCTCCTACTCAACGTGGCTATAAATGTTATTCACCCTCTCTTCGTAAGGTCTTTGTCTCTATGGATGTCACTTTTTTCTGAGAATGACCCTTTCTTCCCCTCGACTTCTCTTCAGGGGGAGTCTATAGGAGTAGAAGAAGATCAGTCATGGGAACCTACTGATGCCACGGTATTACCTCTATTTTTGGAAACAGGGGGAGCTACAGAATCCTCACCATCAAGAGCCTCCTCAAAATGGGGACAAGTTTATAGCAGGCGAAAACCTCCTCAAAGTGTGAATAACCCAGAGCCTCTACACTGCCAGGATTCTGAACCAAGTTCTAGTTTCAGCACCCCAATACTTGAGTGTCATGGTGAAAATGATCTACACTTGCCCATTGCTCTCAGAAAAGGTACTCGATCCTGTACTACTCATCCTATTTCTAATCATATTTCATATGGAAAGTTGTCCCCAGGGTTTCGTACTTTCAATACTATGTTGGATAGTACAAAGATACCGAGAAATATACATGAGGCTCTCAATGATCAAAAATGAAGGGATGCTGTCTTTGAAGAAATGAATGCTTTAGAAAGAAATGGAACTTGGGAGATAGTGACCCTACCCAAAGGAAAACAAGCAGTAGGATGCAAATGGGTGTTTACAATAAAATTCAATGCAGATAATAGCATCAACAGATACAAGGCAAGATTGGTTGCAAAGGGTTTCACTCAGATTCATGGGATAGATTATCATGAGACTTTTGCTCCGGTTGCTAAAGTCAATACCATCCGAGTTCTCTTATCTCTTGCTGCCAATCTAGATTGGCCTCTGCAGCAGTTAGATGTGAAGAATGCATTCCTAAATGGTGACTTACATGAAGAAGTCTATATGGATCCTCCACCTGGTTTTGAAAAGGGAAATGGATCAGTGTGTAAACTAAAAAAGTCTCTATATGGATTGAAACAATCTCCCAGAGAATGGTTCGACAAATTCTCACAAGCAGTCAAAAGAAGAGGCTTCATTCAAGCACAGACTGATCATACTCTCTTCCATAAACACTCTAAGGATGGTAAAATTGCTATTCTTATTGTATATGTAGATGATATAATTCTTACAGGTGATGATATTGAGGAATTGAACACCTTGAAGAAATTTCTAGCAACTCAATTTGAACTCAAAGACCTTGTCACTCTCAAATATTTCCTTGGTAAGGAAGTTGCTAGGAGCAAAACAGGCATCACTCTAACACAAAAGAAATATGTTCTAGATCTTTTGTTGGAAACAGGAATGTTAGGGTGTAAACCTGCTGAGACACCTGTGGAACCTAATACCAAGTTAGGTATTGAAGATGGGAATGAGGTGGATAAAGAACAATATCAGCGATTGGTTGGTAAACTAATCTACTTATCTCATACGCGTCCTGACATTGCCTTTGCGGTGAGTATGTTTAGTCAATTCATGCACTCACCCAAGGAAAAGCATCTTAGTGCAGTCTATAGGGTGCTTAGATACCTCAAGAATACTCCAGGAAGAGGATTATTCTTTAAAAAGGGGTATAAAAGGACAATTGAAATCTACACTGATGCAGATTGGGCAGGCTCATCAGTAGACAGGAGATCTACCTCAGGCTATTGCACCTATGTGTGGGGAAATCTTGTTACTTGGAGAAGCAAAAAGCAAACAGTGATTGCAAGAAGTAGTGCTGAAGCAGAATTTCGAGCTTTAGCTCATGGAGTTTGTGAAGGAATCTGGTTGAGAAGACTTCTTCAAGAGTTGAAGATTTCATATTCCCTACCAATAAAACTATATTGCGACAACAAGGCAGCTGTTAGCATTGCTCAAAATCCTGTGCATCATGATCGAACAAAGCACGTGGAAGTTGATCGTCACTTCATCAAAGAAAAATTAGATGATGGAAGTGTGCGTTTGATACATGTTCCAACCAAAGAGCAAACGGCAGATATCCTTACCAAGGGCCTACACCGTCCAGCATTCGAAGACTTGATTGGCAAGTTGGGAATGATCAATATTTACCTCCCAACTTGAGGGGGAGTGTAGAAAATCAGAATTCAAACATGTTTCCGTTTTTATTTCCTATTAATTAGGATTGATTAGGATTGATTGTGATTGATTAGAATTGATTGTGATTAGGATTGATTAGTCATCGCTTAGTCATTCTTAGCGATTCTTTCTTGTATAAATACTCACTCATGTAAATTATTCAATATCAATATACAAAAACTTCTTTTCAATAAGAATCACCACCAAGATATCACGCCACTAAAAACAAACACAGACAGAAAACAAGAAGCTTCCCATCAAGGCAAAGTCAGTCGAATACCAGAAGGAATCACTGCAATGGGAACCCCATAATTTGGCATATCATCAACAGGCTCATCCTTGGGCTCTATCAAAGCATAAGAGGCTCCTGGTTCAACTGTTGGCTCTTTACATGGTACTGCAGGGGGCTCTCTGCATTGTGATGCCACAGTGCCATGGCCATCTTGCTTTCCAGTTGCACCATCTCTTCCACCTGATGGTTCTTTTGAGGGAAATAAACCAAAAATAAAGCTAATCAAACAATCATCAATACAAAGTTGAATGCGGGTTGGCAACACAGTAACTACAAGAAAAGAAAAATGGAAACATTATAACTATAAAGAAAAATAAATGGCACAAAGTAATATTTCTTTGGATTAAGACTGAATCATTAGACCATTTATGATGCCAGGAACCAGGGTTCCTTCCACATATACAAGCGACAGCAAATACACAGCATCTTATGGCAGACTTCTAGAAATGCAGAAGTCATACAGTATGCAAGTAGAGACTTTTGCAATTGCATGTGATAATGGAAGCACATTGGTGGACCCCAGTGAATTGCTGGCATTCAAAGGGGGGAAATTACTCAGGTTCAATTCAACCAAAATTATTCACAGCTTAACCAAAACTTGCACATAACTTCGTTTCTTCTTTAGAGGTATGTTGGCATTAAAAATTCTTACCTGTATTTTCCTAAGAAAATTTTCCCAACTACTGTGCAGCATTACCAACAAAATACAGTACTTATTATTTCACATTCAAAAAAAAGTTAACCAGGAAGCAAAAGTCACCACCAAGATGTCATACCAGTAAAAACAGACACAAACAGAAAACAAGAAACTTCTCATTAAGACATAGTAAGTTGAATACCAGATGGAACCACCGCAATGGGAACCTCATAATCTGGTATATCATCAATAGGCTCATCCTTGGGCTCGATAAAAGAATAAGTAAGAGGCATTTTGTTTTTCGGTAACAGAGAGGCTCCCGGTTCAACTGTTGGTTCTTTGACTGGTACAGCAGGGGGCGCTCTGTCAGATATAAATTTTCTCCCGCTGGTATTAACTTGAGGTGATAGAGGTTTCTTTCCCTTGTCAACAATGGCATCTTGTGGTGGAACTTGACGCACTTCAATGCTTGCATTTTCATCAGATAATGCTGCTGTGCTTCGAGGCTCCAGACTGAAACTACTTCCAGGTACTGTGTCATCATCTAATTTAGGTATTTTCAATAGAGAAGCTGCTGAGCTGGGACCAAAGCTAGTCAGTGGGCGAGAAGATTGAACCTCTTGGCCTCTTAAACGCAACCTCTTCAATGGTCGCAATGGCTCATCATGCATATGAGCTTCTTCATCATCTACCTCTGCTTCCTGGATATTAGAAAGGCCAGAAGACATTTCAGCAGCTACTGGCTTAAGATCAAAAATGAAATAAAGACAGACTCAGCAACATAGAATAACAAGTTTTACATACATCAACTCTCTTGCTTTTCTTTTTCTGCTCCAGCTCTGGCACCTGTTAAATGATATCAGACAATGGATTGGAGTATGTAGAATAGACCAGAATGTGGATAAACAAAAATAAACAGTTGATAATGTGGGAAATACACCTTATTTTCGTCCTCCTCAAAGATTGCATCTGCCAAAGCTCTATAGCTCTCTTCTTCGATAAGTTCCCAGTTTTTATCATACAATCTAAGTAGTTTCTTCAATACTGGTTTCACTTTCGATTCATGAATCCCAAGATTTGCCATTGCCCGATAGGCCGCTACCACTTTTGGATTGGGTGCCATCTATAATCAGCCAACAGTTACTTCTGCTACAGGCTACCAAATTGCAAAAAGCAATTAAATTTCAAAGATTTCTGAGATGGAAAAATACAACATATGATTTCTGAATAATTAAGCTAGCAGTAGCAGTCCTCAACAATGTTTTGGTAGCAAGTAAGAAAACAATAGCAGGGAAGATAAAATAAATAGGGAAAAATGTTTGTTCTTTTAAAGGACATGTGTCATTTTAAGTGAGAGAAAAACACAACATAGTATTTTTTTATTTAAAAAAAATATCACTCACTTTCTTTCTCATGATTTTCATTACTTGTGTCTTTTTCTCGCTTAAAATAACATAACTCTGTATCCAAGGACAAACACTAAACCTAAGAGAGTCCAAGTATAAAACAATTGATAGGGCTTCAATTAACAACTTAAGCTTCTAGGTTAAATTCGTTGCTTTACTGAGTTTTGTGTCCTAACACAATGACAGAGAACGCGCAATGGAGATTTTGAAGAATTTAGGACACTGACCTTACCTTACCAACGGAGACTTAAATAACAATCTGAGAAAATGGAAGTTAAAGCGATAAATGGTACACAAACATAAACACAAACATGCACAATTCATAGTAAAAAGGAAACCTGGAACCTGCGAGGAACAATGTGGTCAGGAATGTTGAGGAAGAAAACAAGGGTTTTGAGTATCGAAGGTTGCCTGCATTTTTTGAATTGCGAAATTTTATTTTGTTTTTTTATTAAGGTTTTGAATAAGGAAGAATTAAGAATATAAAACCATAAGATGAAGTGTAGCGTGGTTTCACTTTACCTACTTTTGGATCGGTGACGAGCGAACCAAAAGGCGAGTACTGTGGAGGACTCTTCCTCCACTCCGGTGGAAGCGAGTCTATGCTAGCCTTCCTCACTTTCTTGACAAAATCTCACTACACATCAAAGTAAGAAAAAATGTTATTGATTTAAAAAGGGGGTTTTATAATTTTTTTTAACACATGAGTCCTACATGTTTTTTATCTCTACAAAGAATTGAATTATCGTCCAACAGCAAAAATCAAACTACTTTAAAAAGTCATAAATGAAGATTTGTCCATTAATTCAATATGCTTTTCGTATGCATTAAAATTATGTCCATTAATTAATTCGTTAATGTTTTTTTTAGTAATTATCCATGAATGTATTTTAATGGTTAAAATATTTCCTTGTGTTCCGGGTTTTGTTAAGCATAATCGAAAAGCCCATCTGTTAATACCCAAATAAGATAATCCAATGGATTATGAATCCGTCTACTCGAAGACCAAATCATAAGCCCTCCTCGTAATGCTAAAATGGAGCTCAGAGTATGGCCTCAATCCACGTTTCTTTCCACCTATACAATGACAGACCATAATCATTATAACTGTCAAATTACTCATAGCCTCGTATCCACTAATAATAACCATTAATATAACATATATAAAGAGAAAGATTAAGGTGAAGATAATTAAGTTTATAACTGCCTTATATCCACTAATAATAACCATTAATATAACATATATAAAGAAAAATATTAAGGTTAAGAGAATTAAGTTTAAATTAACCATAACCAACATCATACCGATTAATCCTTTAACGTTCACACTGAACACCTTCTGAGAATTGTATAATCAATTTATTCATGCATTAAAATATTGTGTCCTATCACAATGTTTGGATTAATTGAAAAAAAAAAAGTTTAATGATTTTGATATTATAAGAGAAAAATTTATCTCCAATACATACATAAAAATACGTGGAGCTCGTGTTTTTGTTTTTTTTCTCTTTTACTCACATAGCTCCACATAGGATCAGATTTTTTATATTTGTACAGGAGATAAATTTGTCTCCTATAACATAAGAAATATTAAATACAAAATGAGTAAAGTATTTTTCTGTTTATTGGAGATAAATTATATCTCTAAAATTACGTCGCTTTGAATTAACGAATGATGTCTCTGTCATTTTGTTTAATTTTTATCATATAAATTTTACCAAAACCCTTCCTCAATTCAAAACGATGTAGTTTTGAGGGGTCACTAGAGATAACTTATCTCCAGTTACTGTAAAACTTATCTCTAGTGACTGAAAAAATATTTTTCCCATATATATATATGAAAAGATCAAGTTATAAAAATAATAAGTCTTATGGTCTTAATGGTTGATTTTTATAATTTATTAGGTCACACTTATTAATTTATAATAAATCATAACCGTTAAATTCAAGAAAATTAAAGATTAGAATTTAGTATAAAACTTATTATTCTTATACCTAGGGGTGTAAAAGGGCTAAGTCAGCCTACAGGGACATACGACCTAGCTTAAAATAGACCAAGTTTGACCTATTACTAGGGGTGTAAATCGGTCAGGCTAGCTCAGCCCAGCCTACAGCTCGGCCTACATTAAGCCCGGCCTAGCCCGGTCTTTCAGAAAAGTATAGTAGACTTAGACTTATAAAAAAGGTTTTATAACAAATAGGCCATATCCCAATTTTGTCAAGTCCGGCCTACAGCCTTGTAGGCTGGCTTATTTAATTTATTAAAATAAAATAATAAAATAATATTTATTTTATGTGGCAAAGTAAAGGACCAATACCAACTCTAATTTTTATGTGCACCGCCGCTTCTCACTCTCGGCTTCGTCTTTTACTTTTTGTTGGTTTTATTTTAAGAAAGAAAAACTTGTCTAATGTCTCCAAATTTTATATGCTGCTGCAACTTAATACCATGGAGCAATAGGTACCTTGCTGGATTATGATGTTACTGATGAAGATTTTCAATAATACTCTTCTTTCCCTTGTCCTGATGGTGGTTTAAAGATTTTTAGATGAATGACATTCTCTTGTAGATTTTATTTCAGCATCCAGTAATTGTATTTTTCTTATTTTCCCCATTTCTTTGACTCTATTCCTCTATGATATACATTCTAGAGATGGGGTATTATGTTGACTCTTTCTTGTTTGTCATTTTTTTCTTATGAGAAGTACTAGTGTATGCATAAATGGAACTTTCTTTACTTTATACAATTATTATTTTTTGCTTAATATCTATAGTGGTAGGCCTACAAGGCCTGTAGGCATGTCAGACTTTCTTATTTTTAAAAATGGGCCAAATTTGGCCTACAAATAAAGCCTTTAATAGGCCAGATAGGCTGAATTTTTTTTACGTAAGCTTTGGCCAGGAAGGCCTACAGCCACGTAGGCTTGGTAATTCTTAGACTTAGTGATTGGATTACCAAAGCTCAAATTTGAAAAAGATAAAGTTTGTGATGCTTGTCAAATGGGAAAACAAGTGAAGGGTTCTTTAAAATAAAAAAATATTGTTTCTACCACAAAACCTTTACAACTTTTACATATGGATCTTTTTGGACCAACTAGAACCATGAGCTTTGGTGGCAATTACTATGCTTTGGTCATTGTGGATGATTATTCTCGCTATACTTGGACTTTATTTCTTACATATAAAAGCGATGTTGTTAAATCATCCAAGAGACTAGCCAAGCTTATTCAAAATGAACAATCTTCAAATATTGTTTCAATTAGAACCAATCATGGTGGAGAATTTGAAAATCAAGAATTTGAAATGTTTTGTGAAGAAAACGGTATTGAACATAATTTTTCCGCTCCTAGGACTCCACAACAAAATGGAGTTGCAGAAAGGAAAAATCGTGTATTGGAAGAACTTGCTAGAACGATGTTAAATGAAAATAATCTTCCAAAATATTTTTGAGCGGAAGCCGTTGGAACCGCGTGTTATGTTATGAACCGTGCTTTAATTAGACCTATTTTGAAGAAAACTCCATATGAACTTTACAGAGGAAGAAAACCCAATATTTCATATTTTCATGTCTTTGGTTGCAAATGTTTTGTTTTAAATAATGGAAAAGAAAACCTTGGCAAATTTGACTCTAAAGCCGATGAAGGCATATTTCTAGGATATTCACTTACAACTAGAGCTTATAGAATCTATAACAAAAGAACAATGGTCATTGAAGAATCTATTCATGTTGTATTTAATGAGACTAACAATGCATTGCCTAGAAAGGAACCTTGTGATGATGAGGTTATAGAAAACATAGAAAACATAAACTTGAATGACAAAGAGGAAAACGAAAGGCAAAAAGAAAAGGAAGCAAACAATGAAGAAACACCAAGTCAACAAACCAATGATGGAAACAATCTACCACAAGATTGGAAAGTAGCTAGATGACACCCCATTGATGCGGTAATTGGTGATATATCCAAAGGGGTAACTACTAGAAACTCAATTAGAAATATTTGTAATCACTTAGCTTTTGTTTACAAAATTGAACCTAAGACCATAAATATAGCAATTATTGATGAACATTGGTTCTTGGCAATGCAAGAAGAACTACATCAATTTGAAAGAAATCAAGTTTAGGAACTTGTGCCAAAACCAAATGATTATCCAATAATTGAAACCAAATGGGTCTTTAGGAACAAGATTGATGAAAATGGCATAATAACTAGAAACAAAGCTAGACTTGTTACTAACGGATATAATCAAGAGGAAGAAATTGATTATGATGAAACTTATGCTCTCGTTGCTAGATTAGAAGCTATTAGATTGCTACTTGCGTTTGCATGTATAATGGATTTTAAACTCTTTCAAATGGATGTTAAAAGTTCCTTTTTAAATGGTTATATTCAAGAAGAAGTATATGTTGATCAACCTCCCGGTTTTGAAGATCATGATTTACCTAACCATGTCTTTAAACTTAAAAAGGTCTTATATGGTTTAAAGCAATCTCCAAGAGCATGGTATGAAGGACTAAACAAATTTCTTTCAGAAAAGGGTTTTTCAAGAGGAAAAGTGGACACAACTCTTTTTATAAAGAAAAAAGATGATCATCTATTATTTGCACAAATTTATGTTGATGATATTATCTTTGGTGCCACTAACATTAATCTTTGTGAAGAGTTTGCTAATCTCATGCAAAGCGAATTTGAGAGGTCTATGATGGGTGAGCTAAACTTCTTTCCTGGTCTCCAAATAAAGCAACACAAGGATGGGATATTCATCAATCAAGCTAAATATTGCAAGGAGTTACTCAAAAAAATTGGAATGGACAACTCCAAGGCCATCGATACTCCCATGCGTACATCTTGTTCTTTAGACAAGGATGAAGGAGGTAAATCCATAGAAATTACTAAATATCGAGGTATGATCGGTTTACTTCTATATTTAACAGCAAGTAGGCCCGATATTATGTTTTGTGTGTGCATGTGTGCTAGATTTCAAGCTAATCCTAAGGAATCACATTTAAGTGTCGTAAAACGAATTATGAGATATCTTGTAGGCACTTCACACATGGGATTGTGGTACCCTAAAGGTTCATCATGTGAACTAATAGGTTATTCCGATTCCGATTTTGCGGGTTGCAAATTGGATAGGAAAAGCACTAGTGGCACTTGCCACTTTTTTGGTTGCTCACTAGTTTCTTGGCATAGCAAGAAACAAAAAAGTGTAGCATTGTCCACGGCCGAAGCGGAATATGTGGCGGCCGATAGTTGTTGTGCACAAATCACATGGATGAAACAACAACTATAGGACTTTGGGGTTGAACTTGATCACATCCCCATTAGGCGTGATAACACTGGTGCCATCAATATCACCAAAAATTCCAAAATGCACTCAAGAACCAAACACATTGATATTAGGCATCATTTTATTCGAGATCATGTGCAAAACGGTGATTGTATTTTAGAATTTGTAGAATCTTCAAAACAATTGGCCGATATTTTGACCAAGCCTCTCCCAAAAGAAGTGTTTTACAATGTAAGAAGATAAATTGGTTTGATTGATCCATCATATTTGTGAACTTGTATGGATAGTTCATTGGCTTCGATATCTTCCTTGAACTTGAATTGCTTTAACTTTTTCCACTCTC